GGGAGAGGTTGCCAACAAAAAAATTGGAGATGCCCTTTTTTTTTGAAAAGTGCCCCTCAAAGCCTGCCCCCCCCCCATCTTTTCGAAGGTTCCTACGCCCCTGCAAATGGCCCAAACTAGCTTGTGGGAGATCTAACCATGCAAGCCTATTATTACCTAGCCATGGGCTCCATGAAAGGGCCTGTTTATAAACTCCCAGCTAGGCAGGATGAGGCAATTTCCAAGATCCTGACTATCATATCAACTTGTGTTCAAAAATACATGTATATATTTGATGAACTCACTCACGAACATGTATAAACATGACATCCTAGCTGCCTGGCAAGGTTTCCCACTTTCCCACCTGACAGGATCATATAAACATGTCTTAATATTGATTAAAATAAGCCTTTTAAATACTGCAATATCGTACATACTAATATACTATATGTCACAAGACTTTGCAAAATAACATTTTCTACTTTCCTGGCAATATGTCAGACCAGCCCAATAATAAACACATCCAGGTTTATTGTAAATATAATTATAAATGTCCAACTGAATCAGCAGAAACAGGGAGGGTTTCAAAGGACTAGGCCACCTAGCTAACTAAGCTAAAAAAAGAAAGGTTATTAATTTTGCTCAGCCACACGCAAAATATTCTTTGCCCTTTCATGACCAAGAATCCTCAATGAGATATATTATTTATAAACACACAGCGACTATTATTCGTAGAGAGACTTCGTTTCGTGTCGTAAAAATCGTCGGAATTACTCTTCCCCAAAAAATTTCGCTTTAATCCATGTAGTTCACGTATAAATATCGTTGAACAGATCTTTTTAATTTGCACATATTTGCACAACGCCGACCTCGAACGCTCCAGCAATGCGCTTTAGCCATATTTAATTTATTACCTTTGTGTTAAATTTATGCATTATTAATACAAATTTATGCCCCCCAAATTTTGGGGGGCTGTAATGTGATTGGTCAATCAGAACAATGTCGAAGCTCATTGACCCAGCCGTTAAGTGGGCGAGTGGCGAGAACACAACGGCTGGAATCTGAGCCTAGCCTTTTCTGAGAGAGTGACGTATTTTTCAAAGCCAACAACAAGTATAAAATGTCTAACACTGACCAAGAGCCAGAATCCAACTAAAAATGTGAAGTGCCGCGAGGGAGGGGCGGAGCGGCCCAACGCATGCAATTCATTATAGTTTAATAGTACGATTATCCAAACGGAGAAGAATGCGTCACCCAACTATCCGTGATTCAGGCCCTTACTCCGACACCAACAGCGTTGTTAGTAGTGTATACTTGCATAAGGCATTAAGCTGGTTTTGTTTGTTTGAATTTCTTATCAGATCGTGAATTTAATTATTGTTGAAAGTAACAAGTAAGTTAAAATTCAAAAGCTGTGGCATTTGTACAGGTAGTGGTTAAAAACATTTAGGCCTGACAAGTCAATTTAAAAGAGTATCAGTCCTGAGTAAAACGTACGAACTACATATTGGCCATATTACTGTAAATCAAGCTACAGTTAGTTGATGATTTTGTAGTATTCTTTTAAATTAAGGTTCTGTTTGGCGTCGTCGTATTTGGTGTATTCCATGGTCTATTTTTCCTCCCAGCGGTGTTATCAATTATTGGCCCAGCTCCGTACGATTCGGCCAAGAAAATGGAAAGTACGTCTAAAGAAGCTGATTTTGGACGAGAAGAAAACAAAGATGTTTCAACTGTTGCCTCTCATACGAACGAAGCAATTATGGAAAGTGGTAACACAGGTCATGCAAGAACGAATGGTCCATTTATCCTTAATAATATCCAGCAAAGTAAAGACGTACAACCCGCTAATGTCTCCGCTAATGGCACGGCAAATAGCGGCACTGCAAATGACACTGAAACTAGTGGCAAGGTTTCTATTGTTGAAATGCATTTATAATATTGAGATACATGTATATTTGTCTTTAAACTCAATCTTTAGTTTGAATAGTTTGGAAATCGTCGTTCATGTCAAGAACAGAACGAATCAATGATTCTTTGCAACAAAGCAAAAAAGAACAAGTTGCATGCAAAATGCACTGAACGTGTACCTACAGTACAATCGTCGTAAATATTATTGTGGACAGCGCATGCGCAAATGAAATCAGATGCTTTGCTCTATCACATTCAAAGCCAGAAACAAACCAGCCCTCTACTTCCGTTTCCTTCCCAAACACGCTCCAGCAAATTGGGAGGGAAGCAAAAGTAGAGAACCTGGCTTGCGAGGTTGCAACGTCACCAGCATTTTGTAGCCCCCCTCCCCACCCCCATGCCAACATGTGCATATATGTGAACAATCATATTTTAGTTTTTATCTAACCGTCCACATAATTGAAGCCATGGTTGTAAGAGTGATCTTTGCGGTGTAAAATTCGTGTATAATTTTTAGATTCCTGCACTTTTGTTATGTGTGCCTATTTCTTAGACAATAATTTATGTAATATCAATATGATGGTCAGAACGGCTGGCAAACTTGAAAGCTAAGGTAGAAGACCTTTGTATGATGTTGACCTGTCCCTCACCCAACCTGTTTCACAGAGTCTCGCCCTGCCAGCTAAAATAATCTCAGCTATCCCTATTGGACGGTTACTTTATTATACGAAAACACAATGAGCTCAATCACTGTGACCGTGCACAAATTAACACAAACTCAGACAAAACATAATACAATGACTTCTGTTCAGTTTTCAGACCAACATATCTTGATGATAGACTATGGTAATATACAAATACAATAGTTCAAATGTAGAAACACATTGTATGGTAGTATGTAGAAACACATGCTGTGTTTAATTCACTGATTAGCTTGCCGGAAAAACCTAAACTTAGAAAAGCCAACGACTGTTATGTAGTAAGGGTGTAAATTATGCTGAAATTAGAAAACATTTTCCAAGGTTGCTTCTCGTTCCAGGTATTTTTTCGCGCGGTTTTGAAATATTGCTGAAACTGAGACGTCAAAATATTCCTGAAAGTTTTTATAATTTTATATATACATAATAAGCTGTTAACCTTATTATAGACGTCGGCATGTTGTATATTATTGTGCTATATATTTCGTAGATTGCACAATATATCGTAGACATTGACAAAAATAAGCAGGCAATGCGTACATGCTTGAAGGAAAGGAAATAGCTGAGAACAGTTTGTATATATGTCGCCATGGAATGTCGCCGGAAAAGGGTCCAAGATATTGTCAAGCTATGCAGTAGGTAATATTTGAATATTTTTGTAGCAAAAAATAAATACTCGATACTAAAATTTATTTAGTAATATCGCTTGTAGTGAATGTATCAATTTCGCCATGTGTTCGTATGGTGTTACTTACAAGTTAAAATTTTTACCTGATCAAATAGAATGAGTAGGTTATGTTGTACAGTTGTAGTTCTATAATATCTCACTACAGCCGCAATCAACCAATGACTTCTGAAATACAGTAAGGGCTGATAGCATTATAGCATCACTTAATGGTGCAAGCAAAAAACCCAAATATACCAAAACCGCTCGAAAAGTGGGCTGAAACAAGGTTGTGAAGCTATCTTGGGAAATATCTATTGCTTGAAACATGCGGCTATTAGTAAAACACGGAGCACGGAGCACACGGAGCACACGGAGCACGGAGCACACGGAGCACGGAGCACGGAGCACACGAAGTACGGAGCAGTAGAAAAACGAAAATACTTTATAATAAAATACACTGTTTACTATTACAAATTTTTGTTATTATTAATAAAGAGTTTTCGCGAATTTACACGTTGGGGAAGTAGGAAAATGGGGCTTTTACTGAAAAACACATATGATGCAAAACTGCCAAAAGCCATAGCATTTAAAATGGGATTGTGAAACTCGTTATCTTACATCCATCAAGCTTATATAGTTATATTATATTCCGATTGGGCAACACATAAAGAAACACTTACTGTAGAGAACAGCCGATATATTTCGTTACCCCTGCCCAAAAATAGCCAAGTACTCATCTTTCAATGTAGCCGGGATCGACTGAACATTAAAGCTTGTCATGGAGAGAAGTGAATTTTCGGTTTATCCTTCGGCCCAGTGTGCTGTTTCCTGACTGCCGGGCACGTAGTATTCGGTAAAAATACTGCCGGCAGCCGCATGTAGACCAGTATTTCGATGGAATTATAAAGTTTGATAGTTTAGATACATGTGATGGATATTTTGACTATAAACTAGATAGAGTACACACAATATGCGTTACAATAATGCGTACAGGCGTTTACTTTTGGTCCAGTAAGCTAACAAATCGTACAGCCGTTTACTTTTGAAGTCGAGTACGTGTAAAGAGCATAGATTCCCAAATACTTGGTCGAGTACGTACGCATATCGAAATGCACTATTATTTAGGCCTTTCCCGATTGCGCTGGTAAAATCCAAAAAAGTTCTGGCAAAAAGGGCTAAAAAGTGCTCAAAAAGTGCTCAAAATCTCAAAATAGTGCTCAAAAAGTGCTAAAATTGTGAGCAATTTTATATATCTCTATAAAGATTTTGGTAATTTTTTGAAAATCAGCATTTTTAAAAATCTGTTTCCACGTCTTTCTCCATATATGGAACAAACTTCCCTATATGGAGTTGTTTACGACAAAAAAAAGAAAAGAGAACGCGAAAAGTCAGCGTTCTAATTTTTTAACCGGAATGTCATATGCAGCTGTACGGCTTTTCTTTTAGAGTTTCACCTATAAAACTATGTATAGAATAATAGTATAATACACGTCAATTTTTAAACCTAACACCGAATTGTAAGTTTAGTTAGTGGGG